TGCTCGTCCATAGCTCATCCTTTAGACTTGTTCCATGCTCCATTCTAACTCTAGAACTTTGTTGCATATAAAACCTGTCAATACATCAAAGCTAATAGACAAAAGTTAAAGCCCCTATGGGTTTTCTTAGGTTCCTTGAGTCATCATCAAAGCTTAAGATCAACAATATTCCCTCTTTTTGATGAATGGCAAACCTAAGCAAACTCACAAAATAAAAAATTTCGAAAAACAATAAAAAAACGAAAAACTTAAAAACATGAACTAGCTAAATTTAAACAAGGAATTGAATGAAAGTTATAGTTATACCAAACTTAAAAAAATGAACTAGCTAAATTTAAACAAGGAACTAAATGAAAGTTATAGTTATACCTTCTATTGTAAATGGATGGAGAGCTTGTCAACAATTGAGTTTGCCTTCTTTTCCCCCTTTTGGCGTTCATCAAAATTAATGCACACAAATATACATATCTAAACACAACACCATTTTATTAGTTTGTGTCCAAAGCATAGAACAAAGCACATATAGGCAGAAATAGTATGCAAATAGTCATAAAGCAATCAAGCAACATCCATATAAACAAACTAATGTTCCTCCAGAACATCAAAAATAAAAGAAAATACCCTGTTTAATTGTTTACAGACCAAAAGAAGCAAAATAAAACAAGTTCAAGTTAGATCAAGTTCAAGAAAATAAAGTTTTAGAGCTAAGACAGAAGGAAAACATCAAGCTTTAGGGGAAGAGGACTGGGTCTCTTCTTCAGCATCATTCGCCGGCGCCTCTTCAATGACCAAGTCCTCCAATTTCTTCAACAAGTCAGCCTGCCCTTTGGAAAGAGTTGATGTGTTCTGATGCATTGCTGAGGTGAGCTTTGTGGAAGCTTTCACCAAGTCTAACACTACCTTCTCAAGAGCTTCAATCCTTTGAATCAACCCTGGTTGAGTGTCAACTAGCTTTTGTACTGTCTCCTTGAGAGCCTTAAGTTCCAAGGTGGAACTCACTGTGTTGAAATTAGCAAAACCTGACCCTGTAGGAAAAGTTTTTTCAACAGAAGCTTGAAGGATGCCCTGTTCCCCCTGAGAACCAGTTTTCTCTTCAAGGATCCCTTGATCCCCAGGTGCACTATTTCTCTCTTCGCTCAGATCAACCACTGCGGCAGACTCATCCTTGTCCTTCCCTCTTCCCAGAGCTTTGATTACTCTTTTGGTTTGGCATCACAATCACCTCTTTCTTTTTCTGTTCACCTTCTTTCTCATTGTCCTCTCCCTCCAGCACAACCTCAAAACATCCATCCACAACCTTCATCTTATGGTTTTCAAGAAAAATGGGCTGCATGTACTCGGTGTTTTTGAGGGGAAGGGGTTCTTTATCAACAAAGGAAATACCAAAGCTTTCAAAGACATAGGTGAGAAGGTTACCATATCCCACCTTCCAACATTTTGGAACATAGTGAGAGAGGTGTTGAACCATGATAGAGGGAAAGTTTATTTGGATCTTTTTGGCTAGGCAATAGATGAGAACAGAGTCAAGCTTGTTGGCACTGTATTTCTTTTGGGTGCGAGGGAAAATATCATTAAAAACAAATTTTAGCAGAGTTTTGTCAAGAGGGGTTAGGTCATTGTGATTTATGTAGGTTTCCTGCGGGGCTTCACCTAGGAACTCTACTATTTCATCAATATTTGCATCAGGAAGAGGGTTCCTTATCACATTACTCTTAAAATACAAGTCATATCCAGTATTAGGAACATCAAACAGCTCAACCAAGTACATCGCATCAAATTCAATTTCTTTTTCATACACACAACAACGAATAACACCTTTAGAGTATTTGAAACTTTTGCGAAAATCCCTCATAGCATCAACATACATACTCCGATTAAAGCATTCACTCAACAAATTCACCCAATTTTGAGCCTCAATTAAGTCAAGCAGTTCATACAACTTAATAGACTTACACCAAGGAAGATTAATGGTCAAACCTGTCACAAAGTGACCACTGATCTTCTCTTGCCTTTTCATGGCTGCTGGTTTGTCCCGGTAATTGACACCTAGTTCCGGAGCGCTTTCTTCTTCTTCTTGCATGTCGTCAGACTTCCTTTTTTGCGAAGACTGGGATTCGGTAGTTGAATCCACTTTTGGAGGCTCTTGGTCATCAATGGGGTTTGTGTTTAGGTCGGCTTCAATTTTCGGTGGGATTTCCATGGTAATTTCTGGAGTTGGGTTTGTGTTTAGGTCAGCTTCAATTTGGGTTTTTGGAGAGGTAGATATTGGAGAGTAATTTTGATCGAAGTGATGAGAGAGAAGGTAATTTTTGTGTGGTGTAAATTTGTGTGAGGCTGACATCTTTTATGGTGGAGGTAAATTGGTGAAGTGAGGTATCGCTTGGGAGGTGAGGTTAATTTTGTTTATTTGACACTCATATTTATTGCTTAGGGAAACCCAAACCGTGTTTCAAGAGAGTAGTGTAAGTGGGCTACTTTTTGAACAAAAGATAATGATGAATTTAGATGCATTCATCCGATTTTTGTGTTTAGATAAAAAGAATTTGGAATTTTGAAAAATAGATAAACAAAACAATTTTATCTCTTGAATTTTATAAGTAAAGAACACTTGCAAATACAACTTGATACACGGAACAAATCAACAAGGCTCATGCAACCAATTTTGGACTTTTCATATTCTATGACTTTCAAATTTACATGCCCTTAGTAAATATTACTCCTGCTCACAACATGTCTTAACTATGTAATTAAACATATAACACTTGTGCATAGTATACAACAGATTAAACATGTCAGTTTGAGTTTCATACATGAGGGAACTTGATGCATTTTTCTCAGTATAACTTAATCATCCCAGATTCCATTCTCATCTTCTCATGCCTTTCTCTATTCAAGGGTTTTGTTAATATATTTGCAATTTGATTGTCAGTTTGGCAGAAATTTAATTTAATCAAACCCTTTTAAACATTATCCTTAAGGAAATGATGTCTTATATGAAAATGCTTAACTCTTGAATGATGGACTGGATCTTTAGATATGCAAATTGCACTAGTTTTATCACATTATATAGTAATGCAATTAAATTTAATACCAAAGTCACGTAACTGTTGTTTAATCCAGAGGACTTGAGAGCAACAAGCAGCTGCTGCTACATACTCAGCCTCTGCAGTAGACAATGCAACATTATTTTGTTTCTTGGAACCCCAAGAAACTAGACAAGAGCCAAGGAACTAAACCATACCTTAGGTGCTTTTCCTATTGACTAGGTCACCTGAATAGTCAGCATCTGTGAATCCTCTAAGCATAAAGTAATCACTTCTAGGATAGAACAGACACATGTCATCTGTTCCTTTGAGGTATCTCAAAATTCTCTTAACAGCCGTTAGATGTGATTCTTTAGGATTAGATTGAAATCTAGCGCACAATCCAACATTAAAAGAAATGTCAGGCCTACTGGCTGTTAGATTGAAATGAACCAATCATACCTATGTAAGAGGTTTAATCCTCACTTGTTCCTTGTGGATCCTCATCAAGTCTTGTTGCTGTTCCCATAGGTGTATGACTTGTCTTGGCATTCTCAATGTTGTACTTCTTCAGAAGTTCCTTGACACACTTCTGTTGGTGAATCATTATTCCTTCAGCTGTTTGCTTTATTTGAAGTCCAAGGAAGAACTTTAATTCACCCATCATGCTCATCTCAAATTCACCACCCATTAGCTCAGCAAAGTACTTGCACAAACCATTGTTTGTAGCACCAAATATAATATCATCTGCATAGATCTGTACAACTAACAAATCAGTTCCTCGAGATTTAAGAAAAAGAGTTTTGTCTACTTTTCCGCTTTTGAAATCATTTTTCATAGGAACTTTGAAAGTCTTTCATAAGAAAAAGAGTTTTATCAAGCTTTAAAACATGATTTGGATATTTAGGATTTTTGAAACCTGGAGGTTGTTCAACAAACACCTCCTCATTTAAGAAAACATTTAGAAAAGCACATTTCACATCCATTTGATAGAGTTTGAAACCCATAAAAGAAGCAAAAGCTACTAGGATTCTAATAGCTTCTAATCTAGCTACAAGAGCAAAGGTTTCATCGAAATCAACACCTTCCTGTTGGTTGTAGCCTTTCACAACCAATGTAGCCTTGTTCCTTACAATGGTTCCATGTTCATCAAGCTTGTTCCTAAACACCCATTTGAGCTCAATTACTTTCTTTCCCTTAGGCTTTGGTTCAAGGTGCCAAACTTTTTTCCTTTCGAACTCATTGAGTTCCTCTTGCATGACCACTATCCAATCAGCATCTCCCAAGGCTTCTTGATGATATCTTGGCTCTAGAATGGACAGAAATGCATGGAATGCGTAGTAGTTCCTCATTTGTGATCTTGTTTGAGTTCCTTTTTCTTATATCACTGATAATTAGATCAGTTGGATGGGAACCTCGATACTTGAATGGCCTGGGTTGAAATTCCTTTGCTGGAACACCAATTTGAGGAGCTTCTGGTTCTGTTCCTCCTGCTTCTTCCGCTTGTTCCTCATTTACCTGTTCATCGGGTTGAGGAACCTCTCCATTTTCTTAATGATCCTCTTCTGGAGCAGGCTGCTTTTCCTTGGTTTGCTTCTAAGTCTCTTCTTCATCCCTGTCTCTTATCAATCCAATTTCAAAATCATTATTATCCTCTAGTTCCTACACACTCACAAATTGGTTAACTTCATATAAGATTATATGAATGCTTTCCTCAACACATATTGAGCTTTTATTGTAAACTCTATAAGCTTTTCTATCAGAGGCATATACTAGAAATATGGCTTCTTCACTTCTTCCATCAAATTTCCCTAGGTTTTTCTTACCATTGTTATGTACAAAGCACTTACAACCAAAGGCTCTAAGATAAGATATGTTTGGCTTCCTTCCCTTGAATAATTCATAGGGAGTCTTGTTGATGATACTTCTGATTGTTACCCTGTTAAGGATGTAACATGCTGTATACACGGCTTCAGCCTAGAAGTTCCTTGGCAATCCACTTGCAATCAGCATTGTTCTAGCCATTTCCTCAAGGGTTCGATTTTTCCTTTCTACAACTCCATTCCGTTGAGGATTCTTTGGAGCCGAGAAGTTATGGTTCATGCCATTTTCCCTGCAAAACTCATCGAATCTTGAGTTCTCAAATTCAGTTCCGTGATCTGATTTGAGATGGACTATGGAGTGACCACTGATTTTCTGTATTTTCTTGGCAAAAGCAACAAACTAGTTAAAAGTTTCATCTTTAATAGCAAGAAAAATAACCCAAGTGAATCTAGAATAATCATCAACAATAACCAAAACATATTTCTTGCCAATCCTGCTTTGAATTCTCATGGGACCACACAAATCCATATGGATTAATTCAAAAGGCTTTGAAGTGCTTACCATTTTCTTCAATTTAAAAGATGAGCGAACATGCTTGCCTTTCACACATGCATCACAAACTTTGTTCTGTAGGAACTTGATAATAGGAAGTCCTACAACCAAGTTCCTTGCCCTCAGCTTGTCCAGTAATGAAAAGCTATCATGTACAAAACGTTTATGCCATAGCAGGGGATCATCTTCAACAACACCTAGACATGTAAGGTTGTTCCTTGGGATTAAGTTGAGGTCAACTGTATAAGTGTTCCCTTTTCTTGTTCCTTATAGAACAACCTTTCCTGACTTGTTGTTGATGATGTTGCAAGAATCCGAAGTAAAACTTACAGAGTTTCCTTTATCACTGAATTGAGATATACTGAGCAAATTGTGCATTAAGCCCTCGACCAGGAACACATTATCAATGGAATGAGATTTAGATCTTCCAATTTTGCCTTTTCCAATGATCTCGCCCTTCTTATTATCCCCAAAGGTTAATGTTCCTCCAGGGCAGTCTTCTAGTGACAGGAATTTTGATTTATCACCTGTCATATGCTTTGAACAACCGTTGTCGAGATACCACGAGTTGTTACCCCTCACTAGGACCTGCAAGAAAACTAAGCATTAGGATCAGGAACCAAGGTTTCCTTGGGTTCCTTAGACGTGGATGCAATATCAGTTTTCTTTACCCACACTTGTTTTACATTTCTTTTATCAGCTTCTTCTCTTATCGTACACTGTCCATAGAGATGTCTAGTCTTACCACAAAAACTGCATACCTTCATGCTAGGAAGCTCAACATATTTCTTTTGCTTACCTTTCTTCTTGGTCATATAACCAAGGTCTTCAGTTCTTTTTCCTTGAGCTTCGATTATCCACTTAAGTATGACTTTTGGGTCAATACTTCTATCCTTTCTAGAATTCTGTTCCGATTCAAGTTGATCCTTTTGGGTTTTTAAAGTAGAAAGCTCATTTTTCAAATTTTCAAAATCAACATTGAATTTAAGCAACTGATCGCTTGAGGAATTGCTAGAACTGATATCAGAATTTATGAGCTTATACTGAGTTAATTCAACGTTCAGAAGAATACTTTCATTCTTAATTCTATCAGCTATCTCAGTTATGTGTTTGTATTTAAAATCAAGCTCTCTTAGTTTGCTTTGAGACTTGGCATAGACTGTTTCCAACCAAGCACCATGTTCTTTGCAAACCTTAAGATCTTTTCACATTTGTTCAACTTTACACATGTATCTCTAAATAATTCTTCTTCTTCTAGACATATATCTATTAAGACATCTTTAGAGAGAGTTTTAAGCTATTTAGGATCAAGAAATATCTCTTTCTGGAGTTCCTTAAGGTAAGCCTTTTCATCATCTAATTTGGCATCAAACAAAGATTGGCCGTCTCCTCTTCTGGTTGGTCATCATCTTCTTCTTCACTCTCTGAGTCTCCCCAGGCTGCTATCATGGCCTTCCTCATGTTTGACTTTTGATAGTTTGCTTTGCTGAATTTTTCTCTTCCCTGTTCCTTAGCCTTTCCTTTCCCTTTATCATTTTCCCATAGGGGGCAGTCTCTGATAAAGTGATCTGGGGATCCACACTTGTGGCAGCTGTAGTCAGGCTTTGTATTTGAGGTCTTTCTCCCGATCGCGAAGTTCCTTAAGGTTCGGCCTTTCTTGAACATCTTTTTAAATCTTCGCACAATTAGGGAAGCCTCATCCTCGTCCACTTCTGAGTCTTCCTCCTCATCAGCCTTACGAGCCAATCCCTTGTTCCTCATGGGTTCAGTGTTGACTCCAAGGTGTAGCTCATGAGTCATGAGAGAACCTGCTAGTTGTTCAATATTGAACTTGGTAAAGTCCTTTGTTTCCTGTAGGGCTGTCACCTTAGCTCTCCACCTCTCATCTTGTGGAAGACTTCTAAGAACTTTCCTAACCTGCTCATCTATAGGAATCTGTCTACCAAGGGAAACTAACTCATTTATGTTGTTAGTAAAACGGGTTAGCATCTCTTGAATGGTTTCCTTAGGATGCATTTTAAATCTTTCATACTTAGACATAAGTAGATCGATTTTTGAGCGTTTAACCTCATTAGTTCCTTCATGAGTAATCTGCAGCAAATCCCAGATTTCCTTAGCGTTCTTGCACCCCATAACACAATTGTGTTCGTGAGGTCCAAGTCCACTGTGGAGTAATTTCACAGCCATAGCATTTATTTCCATTTTATCAAAGTCCTCTTTTTCATATTCAGACATAGGCTTAGGGATTACCTCGTTCTGAGCATTTGTTTTGGTGACTTCAAAATCACCAACCTCGATGACCCTCCAGACTTGGTAGTTCTCTGCCTTGATAAAGATCTCCATGCGGTTCTTCTAGTAGGTATAGAACTTGCCGTTGAACATAGGAGGCCTCTGTGTTTAGTATCCTTTCTCGTACTTCTCATGAGTATTCATTTTCTCCAAGACCTTTCTTCTTCAGGGTTTCCTAAATTTCCTAGAAGTTAGGCTTTGATACCAATTGTTGTTTTAATGAATACTACAAGAAGGGGGGGTTTGAATTGTTGTATGAGAATTTAGCTAAACTTTTTGCGGAATTAAAATTAAGTTAGCTAAAGGAACTGAAAGATTAACTAAAGGAACTAAAGAATGCAAGAGAGATTTTACGTGGAAAACTCCTTGGCCCTAACAAGGAGAAAAACAACGACCACTTGGGATTTTGGGAAAAGAATCTTCACTATAATAGGGAAAATGAACCTATTACAAGCTAACGACTCAAACTCAAGTTCCTCTACGAACTTGAGACCCTGAGGAACAAGTCACCCAACTTGTTACTCGTCTCTTCTCTTTCTCTCTTCTCACTTCTCGGTTCTTTCTTCTCTTTCTCTTCTCTTTCTCTTCTCTTTCTCATTTCTATTTCTCATATGCAAACATTCACTCGAACTTCCCCATTTCCCAAATTACAACTTGAAAGATAAACAAACTCTAGTATAATAACATTAAGAACACTCTAATGAACTTGTGTGGAATTGACACTTGACTCGATTTGAAGCTTGAAAACTTATGTGAGCAAGGGTGATTTTTTCCAACAGAAATCAATGGTTATTTATAGATCAACAAATGCTTGGAAAAATTTTCTTTGTGCAGCAACACCAGTACGGCACTACTCATACCCACTAAGAAGATCATGTTTCTAGAATTAAGTAACCATGAACTCCTCAATGTGCAAAACCATGACTGACATAGAACATGGGAGAGTAAGCCGTAAGTTTTGGAAAACATGGTGATTTTATTTTTTCAGAAGATATTTTCAAAAATAAGAAAATAAAATAAAATCTTTTTTCACAAGATATTTTCGAAATTTTAAAATAAAATCCCTTTCAAAAGATAAACGTTTTAGAAAGCAACCGTTTTCCTAAAAACTAGCATGCACAATTTTATCTTTTTAAACCAATTCCACATAGAGTTTTCGAGTGCCATTTAATATCTTATACTTACATAAATACTAAAATATAAAAATATATTTAGTCTTCATGTTCTCTGATGAAGCTTCTACTCCGATGCTTCTGTACCTTGGGAGGAACTTCTCCTCTCTAATGAGGCTTCTTTTGTTCCCTGAGGGAACCTTCTCTTCTCCAGTCTTCATTTCTGAAGAGCCAGTTCCTGTGAGGGAACTCTTCAATATGGATAGCTCTACTTCTGGCCTTCTTGTTCCTCATGGTATTTTTACAAGACACTTCATTTTCCTAGTCTTTGTAACTGAGTACACACTAGAACAGTCAAGCACTTATTAGTTTGTAAGTAAGTGAGGTTGTGTCCTCATCAAAATCATTAAGTCCAACAGATTATGGCAAATATAAAAAGGGGGCATGATCTACTTCCTTTATCTTCTAAAAACAAGAAAATCTGAGCTTCGTAAAGGGAGAAAGGGGCAAAAATGGTGAAGGAAGAAGAAAGAGAGTGCGAAATAAAAAATCGCGCTCAGTGATTTCATTTTGCTGATATAAATGTCGCGCGCAACTGAATCTGTTGCGCATGACATTTCAGCGCAACTCAAAACGTTGCACGTGCCTTGCCAGCGTGGCCCACTGAGTTGCGCGCGGATACTGGTCACCATAATGACCCGAATCCTAATTTTGTTTCGTTTGATCTTTTTTCGACGGTTTTTGCTCGTTATTAGATGTAATGGCGCGCAAATTATCAAAATCTTTTAAATTGCTTTGCATATTGTAGCTTGTTTTCTTCTTTAATAGTTTTCTGCATCATTCTTGCATATATACTGTGCTTTATGCCTCCCTAACCATACGTTTTGAACGTTTTTCGTAAGAGTTTCTTAAGACGTTCCATGGTGGTGCTTTACGTAAAAGAACCCACAAATAGGTTTATCATTTTACTGTACTAACGTTACAAATGTCCGGCTTTTCTTCTTTTTTCTCCTCCGAAGCAAAAAGGATGGCGTTGTCATGCAGCGTAAAAATACAAAAGGAGTATCGTACGGGGTAGGTGTTGCGTAAAATTTCACTTCAACTCAAGCTTTGCAAGATCCACCTCTCGGCACTAAAATGCGGTGGATTACTTTTTGCGTTAGCTCACGAGTCAACAGGCGCGCCGAACCATCAGGAACAGACACTACTTGATCGGAAGCAAACACGGTAGTTAGTGAGCTTACCAGCTTACCGGACAGTTAGGGTGTCCGTCCACCCCTTGTATAAAGAAGCGACGAGACGATGTCACGCCTATGTAGTCAGGTGCCCCTAGTCCTGAGACACATGCACTCATCTTGTTGACAAAACTGCTGACAGAGTTGCTGACTTTCTTCCCTCTCATTGGATTTTGATATATGCCTCCTGTCCTGAGACATGTAATTCTATCTTGAAGACATCCAGCTAGGGACCATTTCGGCTTGAATACCGAAAACCCCTTTTCATCTTTTTACTTTGTTAAAGTCAACCTAAATTTTTGAATGACATATTGAGGGACTTTAGACCAACGATGACATGATTGAGAGGAAATCATCCCCTTTTATTTTTTTTATATAACCGATTTCTTCTCATGACTGGACATCACCCAGAACACCTTTGCTTATAAAAGCGTTCTACAATTGCAAAGGGCCAACCTAGATTCTATAGCACGTTAAGACTAGGAAAAACTTTTTCTAGCCTTCATAGCTACATGTTTCAAACAATTAGCGAATCAAGGATCGTTTCGACATCCTTAACATTTCTGAAAGATTCTCTATTATTTGAGAACTTTGCAAAATGAGTCTTGAATTTATTTCCTTGACTACTTTGATAATCGTCTATTCTAGACTCAATCAAAGTGGGGGCTAACTATAGACATCTACTTTTGGCCTCCTGTCTCGACTGGAAGTGCAATGCCGATAAGTAAAACTATCTTTGTGTTAGATTGAAGTGGAGAATGCTTATAGATTAGTGGTTAAGCCACAAAACACAAAAACTAGCCCAAACAAAAAAAAACAAAGCTAAACGAGGTCTAATTTACTAAATTCGATCTATATTAGGCTTAAGCCCGTGCTTAAAACCCAATAATGACGGATTTAGGAGCGCTTAAGTTAAATTTTAATGCTGCCGTAGGAAAATTTGCACGCATCTCAATCAGTCGCGCTGGGCAGGCGCGCGCACTGATTTAGTTGCGCGCGACACTCAACGCAACCTCTAGAGATGCTGTAGGGAATAATTTCAAGCCTTAAATCCCACTAGCTTGAACCCCACTGTGATCATACACTAAAGTACGGTGGCGTCCAAAAGGGAAGAAGATAGAGCAAAAGAGTCGCCAACAAGTTTTAGGAACTTGTAAACCGTTCACGAGGTGAAAGTTACACCCCTTAACGATCCAAGAGATCGTCAACTCCATAAGGTCTAGAACCAAATAAGGGTTCGGAGATGAAGGTAAAATTCCAACCTAAAAGAGATTGAACCTGCCCTAATAATAGGTCTCTACTTTATTCTGATCGTATTCATGTGCGCTTTTCGATTAACATGCAATCAATAGATTAACCCTAAACCTGTTTAATCTATGTTGGTTGAATTTAATGCACAAATAAACTATTATTGGCGATCACTTGAATTTATAATCACAATTAACCCTAAACAAGATTGTTAATATCTTATTAAGCATGATTACAAGTACCAAATTCCCTTTAAACATTCATAAAAGGCGTGATCAAGCAATAAATAAATATCAAACAACATGATAATCAATAATAATAAAATATAATCATCATAAATAAAATAATCATCATAAATTATAACAATTATAATCATAATCATGTTAAAGCAAGATCCTAGGCATGATACTAACACGATTAATAACAAACCGTAGCATGTCACTAAGCATTAAAAATCAAATATTTAACTCTAACATGATACTAACAATCATAAATATTAGGAAGAACATAGGAAGCATCATACTTTTAATCATACTTAATATTAAAATTACCCTAGACATGATACTAGGAATATCATAATAACAATGAATACATGATTTCTACATCATAATATCAATAAATCAATTAAAGTACTTACTTTGATGTCTCGTACCTCTTTCTAATAATAAAATACACACGTTAGTAACTTCAAGAAAAATAATAATCAAACAATTAAATTAAATAATTAAAATAGAGATTTGGGACCAAACCCTCAGAAATTAAACCTTTCACGTCTAGGGCGAAGGCAACTTAGAATATGGCTAGGTGTTTCTAGATCTTGTGAATGCGGAATTTTATATGAAAAGCAAAGTGTGGAAAAGAGAAAGAAAGAAAGATTAAGAAAACTGATTGTCGTTGAATATTCGTAAGAATTGGTGAATTGGTGAGAATTGGTGAAAAAACGGAGTTTTTTAATACGATATTTATAGAGAAAGCAGCCAAAAAGATAAATTAAACAAAACAGAGTCTAGCGCACAGAAAACAGAGCTGGAGCCACCCTTGGCTAGCTGGCGCCAGGCACCAACACTAGCGCCAGGCGCCAGGCCTGGTTCCAGGCGCAAAAGCCTGGGGTTTGGCGCCAAGCCTGATTTCAACACGTTTTCAAAAATCAGATAAATTTACCTTACTGGAGGATAAAATCATATAATTTCCTCGAAAATGCTATTTGATTTTGATTAAAACTCTGAAAAGTCAACAAAAGTCAATTTATTAATGCTAATTGAATTAGGAATGAAAAGAACCTTCTAGAAGATTCTAGAAGACTAAAACCTTTCCTAATTTCATTAGGAATGAAAAATCATATTAGGCGCTCCCCTAGATCATTGGGCCGTATATAAAGATCAAACCGAGCCCCGTTTAGTAAATTGGCCATAACTTAGTCAATATTCATCGGAATTGGGCTTATAATATATCGTTGGAA